AAAAAAGGAACCTTTTATTTAGTTATTTATGAAACATGAAAAATGACGACTTGGGCCTTTATTTTTATTATAAAAAATGAACAAAAAATTTTAGGCACAAAATAGTAAAGAATTATTGAAAAATAATTTTTAAAAAATATCCAAAATAGTAAAGCCCAAACCGCCAAATCAATCTGCATCTACCCGCCAACCTACACGGCCCACTCAATCCGTGTCTGGTAACTAAGTGGACAAATACAGATTGATTTTTCCTAATCTATCTAAGTTCAGATAGATAGTAAATGAGAGGTCACCCGATCCAATCTGATTCGCGAGCACCTCTACCCCTCACGTTGATTCATAATAATCAATTTATTTTTTTTATTTTTTTAAGTTATTTTATTACATAATTAATTAACAAAAACTACAACAAAAAGTATGGCACAACATTTCAAAAAAATAATAAAACAACAAATACACGGAAATTAGTTGGGGGCGAAACCACACACAAGTTCATGAAAAAAAAAAAAACAAGGAAAAAGAAAAACTTACTGTTGGCTATAAGTTTCAGTGAATAGAGTGACACAAAGTAGCTAGAAGATTAGAGGTTCATTAAACTTTTAATTCTATTCTTTGATCGGAAGTTTTATTTTGGTCTTTATTGTTTTAAATTGAATAGATTGATATTTATCTTTTAAGTTTGTTTTAGTTTAACCATTTCGTCCAAATTAAAGGTTAATTAATAATTTTGAGATCTTTGCCGGTCTCTTAAGGCATACATGTATGAAATATTAATGAAAATTTGGACAAAATAATCAAATTAAAACTAAACTTATAATGTAGGAACTAAATTATTCAAATTAAAATTACAAAAATTAAAATAAAATTATTTGAGTCAAACTATAAGACTAAATAGTATAATTAACCCAAGATTAGAAGCTACTCTGATTGGCGAGAAGTTATTCCATCAGTCCAACATACCAAGTAAGCAACATACCCAATTAATGGGAACAATACATAAACAAAAAGAGTCGCAATATATGGAAAAAATTTAGGAACTGTGCCAATGTATTACTAATTCAAAAAAATTACTACTACTTTCTTTAAAATTTTGTTAATTTAGCGTATTATAACAACATAATAACGTGATATACCGGACCTACTGAATAATTTCTCCTCACGGGGATAGCAAGAAAAGGAAGTAACAATGTCCTAGTAAACTTCTTGTTTGCACAAACTACAGGGCTTTTCTCATATTAAGCCAAATTTCTATCTTAATTCTCAAACTAGACCTAGTTTGGACGGACTTCCCAAACTAGGCTAAAGCGCTATTACAAATCGCGCTTTCACTGTTTGAAGCAGAAAATTTGATGAATAGTGAAAGCGCTATTACAAAAAGCGCTTTTAATTAAGAAAACGCTATTACAAAAAGCGTTTTCACTGTGCATATGAAAAAAACGCTATTACAAAAAGCGCTTTCACTGTGCATACCCCTTCAGAAAATGTTTAAAATATATTAAAATGTAATCAAAATTAATCTTGAGTTCTCTGCAGCTCAAATGGTAGTGTATTGATTTTGTCACACCTCTGCACAAGTTCAAACTACATGCACACCAACTCCAAACAATTGCTATCTAAAATGAAATTCAACTTTTTTTTTTTTTTCCCCTTCCACTCACTCTATATTTTATATATTTATTATGTAATTTTTTTATCAAAAAAAAATGTTTGTTTGGTTAAATATTTTAAAAAATTTAAAATAAAAAATTATTTATTTAAAAAATTAAATAAACAATTTATTTATTTTTAAAGAATTATATAAAGTAGTATACTATTTATACTATCATCACATCACACGTATAAATAGTATACTCACTTAGACGTATTATACTATCATCACATCGCACGTATACTACTTTTTTTTTTAATTTTTAATAAATTGTTTATTTTTATTATTACCCATTACTTTTAAAATATGTTTAAAAATATTTTAAAAAATTAAAAAATGTACGCTTTTAAAATATTTTAGTACATTTTAAAAGCGTACATTTTGCTGAAAAAATATTTTTTGAGTACGCTTTCATTGTGCATATTTTTTTGAGTACATTTTGCTGAAAAAAATAATATTTGGCTAAAAAATTACTAAAAATACAAAAATATTTTTTCAATACATTTTTTGTATTTTTATGTATTTATTAATTTTTTAAAATATTTTTTCACAAATTTTTTATTTTTAGATACATCTAACTAAGGTGCATCTAAAAAAGTAAAAAAAAAATGTTTAAAAATTTTTTCCTTCCACTCACTCTATATTTTATATATTTATTATGTAATTTTTTTATCAAAAAAAAAATGTTTGTTTGGTTAAATATTTTAAAAAATTTAAAATAAACAATTTATTTATTTAAAAAATTAAATAAACAATTTATTTATTTTTAAAGAATTATATAAAGTAGTATACTATTTTACTATTGTCACATCACACGTATAATAGTATACTCACTTAGACGTATTATACTATCATCACATCGCACGTATACTACTTTTTATATTTTTAATAAATTGTTTATTTTATTACCCATTACTTTTAAAATAGGTTTATTTTTAAAATATTTAAAAAATTGAAAAATGTGCGCTTTTAAATATTTTAGTACATTTTAAAAGCGCACATTTTGCTGAAAAAATATTTTTTGAGTACGCTTTCACTGTGCATATTTTTTGAGTACATTTTTCTGAAAAAATTAATATTTTGCTGAAAAAATGCTAAAAATACAAAAATATTTTTCAGTACATTTTTTGTATTTTTATGTATTTATTAATTTTTTAAAATATTTTTTCACAATTTTTTTATTTTTTAGATACATCTAACTAAGGTGCATCTAAAAAGTAAAAAAAAAATTGTTTAAAATTTTAAAAATATTCACTAAAAACAAAAAAATACGAAAATCAAAAACTCAGTTTTCAAATAACTAATCCAAAAAACTCAAACCAAATACACTGAATATTTTTTAAACAATTATGTTGACATTTTGAAAAAAAATGTATTTTATAGAAAAATTGTTTAGTTATTGTATTTTATTTATTTTAAATAAATTGTTTATTTAATTTTTGAAATAAATAAATTGTACATTTTAAAAAAATATGCACAGTGAAAACGTACTCAAAAAAATATTTTTCAGCAAAATGTACGCTTTTAAAATGTACTAAATATTTTAAAAGCGTACATTTTTCAATTTTTTAAATATTTTAAAATAAACATATTTTAAAAGTAATGCTTAATAATAAAAATAAACAATTTATTAAAAATAAAAAAGTAGTATACATGAGATGTGATGATAGTATATACGTCTAAGTGAGTATACTATTATACGTGTGATGTGATGATAGTATAATAGTATACTACTTTATATAATTCTTAAAAATAATAAATTGTTTATTTAATTTTTTAAATAAATAATTTTTATTTTAAATTTTTTAAAATATTTAACCAAACAAACATTTTTTTTTGATAAAAATTACTAATAAAATATATAAAATATAGAGTGAGTGGAAGGGGAAAAAAAAAAAAAAGTTGAATTTCATTTTAGATAGCAATTGTTTGGAGTTGGTGTGCATGTAGTTTGAACTTGTGCAGAGGTGTGGCAAAATCCATACACTACCATTTTGAGCTGCAGAGAACTCAAGATTAATTTTGATTACATTTTAATATATTTTAAACATTTTCTGAAGGGGTATGCACAGTGAAAGCGCTTTTTGAATAGCGTTTTTTCATATGCACAGTGAAAACGCTTTTTGTAATAGCGTTTTCTTAATTAAAAGCGCTTTTTGTAATAGCGCTTTCACTATTCATCAAATTTTCTGCTTCAAACAGTGAAAGCGATTTGTAATAGCGCTTTAGCCTAGTTTGGGAAGTCCGGTCCAACTAGGT